TCAGTCCAGGCCACCGAGGAACAGAAAGAAGCAATTTCAACTTGAGAGCTGAGACTGCAGAGGATGCTGCATGGAGAGGTGTCCAGGGGACAGTATCCTGAGGGGATCCAGCATGGCCCTGGAGCCCGTGGGGAAATTCCTGCTTCGCTCACCTGGCCAAGCTGGATGAAGGTATCCAGAGCCTGGCTCGATGGCTCCACACTCACGTGGCAGGGGGACACCTGCACCAGGGGCTCTCATTCCCACCACAGCCCCCTCCCCAAGTAACAGGGAAAGGGCTCGGCTCAGTATGGAGAACCTGGATACACCCCGGGATGGCTGGGGCAGGATGGCAGGAGCAGATCCCCAGGACCACACTGGGATGTGGGACATCACCTTGTGTGACTGAGAAGCTCCAAGTGCCAGGGGTTGGCAGCAGCCCAGGGGCTCCCTTATTTTTATAAATGTTAATTCCCAACCGGCACATCGTCCCCATGGAATATTTTAGCACCTTTAATGCAATTTCCTTCTCTTTCTGAAATATCATTTTAACACAAGCCAGTCGCACCGTGTACCTGCTCCCTAATAAACCTCTGCCACTTTAATGAACTAAATAGCAAATTACTTTTTTATTCAAGAATGAAATTTCATCATATTCATAATTCATATTTTATTTCAGACATCTGCTGCTGATTACATTACATTTAACTAAAATTAGATGATGCTCAGAATGTAATTAAGCCCCTGCCAAATTCTCTGGCCCACCAATACCAGCCTCGCTCAGCGGGGGCCGCTTGGAACCTAATATGTAATTAGGAGCTATTTTCTAGCTGTTTTTAAAGTCTGAAAATTAGCTGCCTTTATTAATCACACAGACAAATATAAAGCAGAGCCAACGCTCGCTGAAATTTCTAAAAAGGATTTTTTTTTTAATTATACACCACATAGCGCTGAGACTCATTTTGAATGTTGATTTGTTGTGCACTGACATTTTGACAACTAGTTCTCAATTTGTCTGTCGTAGTTAGGCAACAACAAAGCAGACGGTAATACTTAACTTTCAAAACCTTCAGCGTGGCGGGAGGGGAGAGGGGAGGGAGGGAGGGAGGGAAGGGGGGGCCAGGCTCCCCCAGGGGTGCAGTGGGACACCCTGGATGGTCGGTGCTGGACTACAGGAAGGTGGGAGCTCCAAAATCCCCCTCACGGGGGCACACGCAAGATCTGCAAAGTGCCCTTGAAATGGCACCCAGGGGGGAGTCCCTGCTCCTCCGGGAGCCCCTGGTCCTGCTGGGGGTGTGGGGCAGCACCCAGCTGGGGCAGCCCCAGCAGGGACCCCAGGAGTGGAGGGGAGCCCTGAGGCTCCTCAGCAGCCCCCCTGTTCCTGAGCGCTGACATTTCCACTCTCTCACTGACCCTTTTTCTGTTCTCTCTGTTATCTCAAATAATGTCACTGCCTCTTTAGCATCTATTCACCGGAGCAGAAGGAAGCCACTGCTGACATGGATTTAAAATAATAATAATAATACCATCTGTGCCTGGCAGGGGACAGGCAGCACCCAGCCAGGCCCCACAGCAGGGACTCAGGTCAGGGGAGGCCCCATTGGGTGGGGGAGAGGAGCCCCCAAAGACACCCCCAAGCTGCTGCCACCACAGTGGTGCTGCTGCCCCATGTGCTGGCAGCACCCCCAGGCAGTGAAGGAAAATAAAAATTTCAAAAGGTTGGGGCTTTTTTATATACAAAGTGTTTCCCTTTTTGCTGGTATTTCATGCCAGTGTCCCCCAGCTCTCCCTGGGTCCCACAGCACAGGAAAGCCCCCCTGGCCAGGTCCCCTTCACCCCTGGGGCAGCTCCTCAGTGCATCCTTCTTTTGCAGAAGGCTGGAGCGTGGCTTCCCCCTCCCACACTGGCTATTAGATGCAAACCCAGGATCGTTAGTCTTTCTGCAAAGCTCATAATGTGAAAAATGAAGCTCAAGAAAAATTAGCCAAATTACCAGGCTAATCCTTCAGCAGTGAGTGCTGCTCTGCTGCACATCCTAACGGGAGGCTGGGGAGAGCAGACGGGGCAGCACAGAGGGAAAAGCACTCGTGTGGTTGTGGGGTGGCTGAGGGAGAGGAGGGGACGAGTCCACAGGGAGAACACACTCACTGGGCTTAATTCCTGCCTTCATTTTGCTCCCCAAGCAGTGAACTGCAGGAGAGCCAGGGCTGTGCCTCCTGCACCCACCATGCTCCCCTGGGGAATGGGAGTCCTGTGGGACCAGCTGCTCCGGATGCCCATGGCACAGGAATGAGGTCCCCTACATCCACAGGGCTAACCAGGCATGTAAAGCTCAAGGAATTGCAGGAGGTGGCTGGAAGTTGGTACAACCAAAGAGACGATTCCTGTGCCAAAGCTGGGGTCAGGTACACGCCAAGAGCTCCCCCAGTTATCAGGGTGCTCACAGCAATGCCCCTGGGAGGGAGAACACAGGGAGGAGGGAGTGGGCATTCCCAGGCTCCCAGATGGATGCAAAATCCTTGCTCACTGCTGACAAACTGGGACTGGCTCCAGCTGCTGACTCTGGCAGTTCTGGTCCCTGTGGCACACGGGAGGCAGAGCGAGGCTGGGGCAAAGCCCCCGGGCTGGGGGCTGCACAGGGACCACCCCCAGCCACATCCCACAGAGCCCAGCCCAGGTCACCCTCCTGTGCCACTATGGGGCAGTCACTGCCACAAACCCTCACCCAGCCTGGGAACTGACAGGGAGCAGAGCAGGACAAAGGAAGGAACCTTCCTGGGAAGTAGAGCTTCCAAAGAAAGCAGCTAATGAGGAAAAGCACTGAATAAAAATGTTGATTATTTCTTTTCAAGCCCAGACGTGTTGTTTTGAAGTGAAGTTTCTTCGCACTGAATTTGGCACTTCTTTGTGCTAACCAGGAGAAACTACAGACACATTTAAGTGGTTGTAGTCAACACACTTCCAGCTCCTCACATTGATTACACTGTATTAGAAAATGGTAAATTATTTATCAGGCTTTCTGACTTGTGATTAGCGTAAACCTGCTCTCGGATGCAAATTGTAATTGTAATTAGACATGTAGAAACCCAGCATCTAAAACCTGTTTGTATCGAAGCAGTGTAAGGGTTTTTTTCCCTTTTGTATCCAGCATAATTATCAAAGAACACTTTGCACATAAAACCCCACCAATTTATTAAAAGCAGAGACAGTTTTACACCTGATCAGTGAACTAAAGCTGGTCATCACAATGCTGGGATTTCAGAGCTAGTACAGCTCAACTTCTCCTACTTTTTTTCTGCCTGCACTGGAAGAGGAAGGTAACTTCTCAATCCCCTGACCATTTATTACCCAGCTTTGAATGAAGCACTTCTTGAATAGAGCTACCCTTAAAAAACCCCAGACAAACAGCACAATGATAAAATCTCTCTGGCAGGTGAAGACACCACAGCCACTGAGAGTCAGCTTATTCCTTCGGGATCCTCTGGCTTCAGCCACTTACCTACCAATTCCCTTTAGTCCTGTGGTTCAACTCATTAAAATTTCAACACTAAAAACTGCATTTACATTCGTGTAATGAGTTCAAATGCATTTAGGTTTCATAGTTTGCCAGTTGCAAGCTATGGTCAGCTTTTAAGGAGGTGGTTGGTGCTTTTTTTTTTTTCCCCTACTTAAAACCAATTACTTCAAACTAAACCAAATCCATGTTGCTCTGTCCTGACTCCCCTCCACCACAGACTCCCCTCGTGGCACGTTTGACACACCCAACAGGACAGGCAAGGGGAATTGAAGCTGGTTGATGGCTGAAGTGAGAGAGAACCCAGAACAGCCATGGCAAGGGGAATGTTCAGATTTCCTTGCCTTCAGCCACCCTCCTCACACATCACAGTCTGAACCAGACCTTTAACACATGAGTAGGAACCAGAGCCTGGTCACAGGACCCTGTTTATCAGCCCAGGCTGAGATTGCAGGAAAGAGTAGAAACAGTGATAGTTTCATTAGAAATGTGCTTTCTCAGTTTAATGACCCAATTCTTAATTAACAGCAGGTAGGAGGCATATTTAAAAGTTTCCTCTCCCCCCTGAATTGCTATCCAAGAGAAACAGAGACCTGAGTGTCAAGCCCTGAGCTGCCAAGATGCTTTTCAGCCAAAAATGTCAGAGCACTCTGCACATCCACCTCACCTGCTGTGCTGCCTGCCCCGCGGGACACTGGGGAGAAGGGAAGATGCACCACGTGCATCCTAAGCAGCAGAACCAAGCAAAGTGTCCATGCTGGAATCCAGCCAAGCCCCTCTCCCTCCTGCCCTTCAGGATTAGCACAGCAGTTCAGTAAATTTAAAACAAGATTTTGAGAGCCTGGGTCAAACCTCGCACCCAGCCCAAGCAGTTGCTCCCAGGTTCCCACAGCAGCCCCTGCTCCCAGGGACATCAGGCCCAACATTGGCTCCGTGTCTAGAAGCCCTCGGCCACCCAGACAGAAGTTTCCAGGCAGCAGGGCAGGCACAGCTGCCCCCTGAGGACACGCTGCCAGGAGCCCAGCTTTGCCAGAGGCAGCAGCTCAGCTCAGCTCTGGGAGAGCGCGCGCAGCACCGGGGCCGTCAGGGAGGAGGGGGAGTGCAGGGTCACGCCAGGGCCCCCGATATTGGTCTCCCAGCACTCAAATCCACAGGCACTTAAGTCTTGCTTGGCTGCTTCCACGGCCAGAGGGGAGGTGTCTGCCAAGAGGAAGGCAAGAGCAGGCAGTTAGTCAGCTGGGCCACTGCAGGGACCAAAAGGGGCCACGGCACGTTGGAACACAAGCTCCCTGGAGCAAGGCCCTGCAGAACTGACACAAGCGAAAGCCCCGGTGTGGAACACTGCACCCCATGCTGTCAGGGGGCTCTGCCAGACATCATCCCATGCTCCCAACATGGCTTCACATCCCCCTCCATCCCACAGGGGCTAGGCTTGTCTCCCTCTGCCTCTGCACTGGACTGGCAGGGCCAGCCCAGATACCATCTTTGCTAGAGGCAGCAGCTCAGCTCAGCTCTGTGAGAGCGCGCGCAGCACTGGGGCCGTCAGGGAGGAGGGGGAGTGCAGGGTCACGCCAGGGCCCCCGATATTGGTCTCCCAGCACTCAAATCCACAGGCACTTAAGTCTTGCTTGGCTGCTTCCACGGCCAGAGGGGAGGTGTCTGCCAAGAGGAAGGCAAGAGCAGGCAGTTAGTCAGCTGGGCCACTGCAGGGACCAAAAGGGGCCACGGCACGTTGGAACACAAGCTCCCTGGAGCAAGGCCCTGCAGAACTGACACAAGCGAAAGCCCCGGTGTGGAACACTGCACCCCATGCTGTCAGGGGGCTCTGCCAGACATCATCCCATGCTCCCAACATGGCTTCACATCCCCCTCCATCCCACAGGGGCTAGGCTTGTCTCCCTCTGCCTCTGCACTGGACTGGCAGGGCCACGTGGAACAGGGGGAGGATGCCCAGAGGGTCACTGACCTGGTCTCAGCAGGGTGATGCCGCAGCCGCCCCCGCCAGCCCCGGTCAGCTTGCTGTGCAGGCCATGGGACCTTGTCACCTGGCACAGCCTGTCCAGGGAGGGATGGCCGACACCCATCACGTTTAGGTGGTGCTGGTTTATATCAAAGAGCTCCTAAAAGCAACCATACAGACATGAGATGAGCACGTGTGATGACAGGGGCTCTTCACAGCCACAGGTGCCTCCCTCCGCAGTGAGGTGGGGGGAGCTGTCCTGCCTCCCCAGCCATCCCATGTCTGCAGGGAGTTCAGCAAGGTTGAGGCCAGGGGCTGAGCCCTGGGCTGTTCATCTGTCACTGTCCCCTGCATGACCTGTGCTGCTGCTGCCCACCACAGTGACAGTGGCACAGCAGCTTCTGGACCTCCTTGCTGAGGGAGGACAGAGAAAATCCTGATGATCTCAAGCTGCCAGGAGGCATTTATTTCAGGTACTAAATTGGAGCTCCACAACACCTCCTGACTGTTCCACCACTCCCCTGTCACACCAGTGTTGAGCAGGAGGCTGTGCAAGCCTCCTTGCTGGCCATGGGAAGGGCACCAAGCCAGCATCTCTCATTCCTGGCTGTCACCCTGCCCTGCAACCCATCCAGCATAACTGTATCTAGAGGACTTCTGACACAGCCAAGTCCTGATGGGCACTGCTGGAGAGGGGACATGGAGCCACCTCCCCTGCTTTGCACTGGGCAGCTTCTCCCTCCTCATGAGCTGGGCCAGGGCTGGGAGCCAAGGAGCCTCTCTCCAGCACCATGCTGGAAATCAGGGACAAGCAGGGGTCAGGGGACCCTCCCTTTGGGGAAGGGCAGCACAAGCCACTCTCCAAGCAAGTCTGCCCTCCAGGCAGAGCTGCCCAGCTCTGGTGAGCTCCAAGTGCATCTCTGCCATGCTGCCCCAAGCAGCCAGACACCCCCTGCTCCTGGAGAAAGCTGACACAACAGCCACGACCAAACAGCCCAAATGGACAACACCACCCAGAGGTGGGAGTTACAGCTTCTTTCCTCCCTGTAGTAGAGGTGAGGAATTAAAGAACAGATAGATGGGCTTGGCCTGCACTGGGAGCAGGCCTGGAATGGGGCAAGCAACTGACAGCAGAGCCCCAGGCACCACAGTGCCCTCCCAGCTCAGCACCATCAGTGGAGGAAGCTCCTCCTCAGCAACCCTGGTCTGACATCCCAACTCGATCACCTCCCTGGCATGTGCCCACTGTTTTCATTGCTGCCCCAGCAGGTGTCACAGGCCAGGAGCCAGCTGAGACAGGTTCCCCACAGCAGCCCTGTGCCCTGCTCTCCAGCCAGTGCCACCAAGCACTTCCCAGTCTGCTGCTCCTGGTAAGCTGGGGTGAGATGCTGAGCACAGAGAGCAGTGGGAGCCATGCTGCAGCCTGGCAGGTGTCAGTCACATCACCCTCCCCCAGCTCCACATGGGTCTCCTGCCACCACCACAGAGGAGGTGACAATGCAGAAATAAACCTCCCCCCCCGAGCATTTCTGTACCACACTTAGACACAACGCAGGGAGATGAATTAGCCAGAGGCATGCAGAGTGCATCCACCCCCAGTCCTGTGCTGGGATGGACAGACATCCATCCAGTGGCCTTTTTATATGCCTGAGTGAGGGCACAGCACCACCTATGATGATCCAAGACACCTGTCATCTCCTGATCCAAAATCTGCCAGGAATCAGATGACAGCTTATGACACAGTAGACTAGTTCTGTGGTTCAAACAGGGCTGTCCAGAGCTGCACATCTCAGAAACAGCCAAATACATAGAGATATATGCTGCATATCATCAGCTGTGCTTCTGTGGGCAACCCAAGCACCAGACAACACAACAGATTCCAGACAGGAACTGCCCACTGCAGTGCTGCTTCCCAGGCTGCATACAAGGCTGTTTCCCAGTGAGGACCTCAAAGCACACTTTGCATTAGTCCTCCTCTTCCCTGTCCCCCAGTGCTTCCAGTAGCCTTAGCCATACTGCATTAGGGTGGAGCTGTCTGAAGCTGAGCTGCAAACTGACTTCAGATCTCCCCCAGCTCAGCCCATCCTGATGGGTACTGAAAGCCTCTTGATGCAAAGGGAGCAGGACTTTGCTGTAACTCCCACAGGACACCTCTCCATGCTTGCTGCAGGGCCAGCAGCTCAGACACCTGCACTGAGGTGGCAAGACAGCCTGAAGCAAAAAGGAGAAGGATGCACCAACCATCTGCTAACAGAGCAGCCCTACGCTGCTGCCACAGGTCCAGTTGGGACAGCAGCTCTGTGTCCCACCCCAGATCCCTCTCCAGCACCTCCAGAGCACACTCCCAGCTGGGGAGGGGACAACCTGCCAGCAAGAGCAAGGACAAGCAGAGGTCCTCACAGGAGAGCCAAGGGGAGGGATCCAGATGCCACCAAGGAAATGCACCACTGGTACCAAATGGCTCTGGACCGTCCAAGTCACTTGGCACCCAAGGCCAAGCCAGGTTTGCCTCAGCTGGGACACTGCCACACATCCTTACCCCACAGCTGCATGAACCAGTGCTGCAGCACACTCAGCACTGCAAAAAACTTCCTCCATTTGGAAGCATGTTTCCCCCCCACCTTAGTAGCCTCTCTTACTCTGAACAAAGCCAAGACAAACATAGATCTTTGCATGCACCTCATGCATCAACGTCAGGTCAGCTCTAGGCACAGCTCTGTTTGTTACTCTCCTGAGCCAGGAGGAGTGCAGAGCACTGGGAGCTGGCTGGTAACCAGTCCATCACAAACCAGTGGCTGCTGGGCTTTCTGCTCTTCACTCCAGCCCTGGCAGTGACAAAGCAGTTGTTTCACCGGCAGTGACTGCCAGCAGGAGCGTGGCTGGCCCGTGGAGCCAGCATCTCAGCCTCAACTCTCTCCACATTTCTCAGCAGAGGGAAACAAAACCTCCGGAGCTGCCAGGTCCACAAAGCACTGGTCCCAACCACACCCTCCCCATGCTCTGCTGTGGAGAGACACCAGCAGCACTTTCTGTCCCTTGGCTCCAGGAAGGGCATCAAAAGCAGTGCACACAGACTATGGCTTCACTCAGAACTGAACATTTCCTGCCATCAATTTTTTTCTTAGACCTAATGTTCTTTAAATGACATTTTGATGTTCAACAGTAACAGTGTCTAAAAATACTGGCGAGCGAGCCCCTTACCTCCAGCACAGGGTAATACTCTGGTGATGGATTTGCAGGCATTGCTTCCAGAACACTTTGGCACTCCTGAGAAATTGCATCGATGGAGTCCAGCACTGGGTTCATTATAGCAGGGAACTGAGAAAGGAGAAGGCAAGATGTGAGAAGACTGCTCACCAGTTCTGACACCACTGTGGTGAAACCAGCCCCAGGCCCTCGGAGCTGGACAATTCCTCACCCACTCAGGGCTACTCATTCACAGACACTTCCCTGCAGACCAGGGCAATGGTCAGTTGTCCCCACCTGCAGGAACTAGAGGAAGAGAAGGAACTGGTGATTTTTGTGTCAGGGCCTTAGTGCTGGAGAGAGACATAAGAGCTGAACCCCCATTCCCAGCTAGCAACAGTGACCACAGGAGGAATCTCCCAAGAGATCCCTATGAGACAGGCAGTCCCACATAAGATCCAAGCTCCTGAGGGTTAACCCCCCACCCTGCCCCACCACACATCTGCATCCCCATGACCATGCAGGTGCTGCACCTTCAGCATCTTCTCTTTGACACCAGCGACCAAGACCTTGGTGCTTCGAGGGACCTTAGTGTTTGTCAGCAAGATCCTCAGTGTTGGCACCCTGGAAGCAACAAGAGACACCTCCTTGCCTCTCTCCTTCACAGTCCCCCAGCAGCTTCCAAGGCCCAGACAACTACAGTTCCTTCTGCCTCTAAAGGCTTGTTTGAGCAAGACACCCAAGCTAATGAGTCCCATTAGTTTTAAAAAAGTTAAGCAGGTGCTTTAGTGCTGGCTGAGTTCAGGCTTGCTCCACTTAGATACTAGGAACAACTGTACTAGTGCTATAAATAGGACTATAACGTATTTGAAATCCATGTTTTTCAAGCAAAATTTTTCCTTTGAAATATGCTCTGTGAGACTAGCCAGCAGTGGCCATTAACTGCTAATAGAGCAATTTCATGCACTGTGAAAGATTTTAATGGAGTCAGATTATACTTGGTTGGCAGGAGGCAGAGGGGACAGGCAGGACCTGGGCATGTCTCTGCAGCTCAGTTCTCCCAGCCCCACCACCAGGTAAGCAGAAGCTGCCCCTCCCCACCACCTCGGCTGTTGCCAGGAGCAGATCCATTTCTGCTGCCCATAATGCC